CAAAGTTTCCAGATAAGAACTTACTTTTAGTCTTTTACTTGTGTAAGTTTGTAGGTATTAACTCTTGGCTTCATGTTATGATATTTCTTAACTTTCTATTTTTATGAATTGAAAAAAAATAATCTTCCATTTTTACGAATTGAAAAAAATAACTTTTATTTAATATCAATTTGTAACGCTCGTTAATTGATTATTAATATTTTGTTAATTTTATTCTTATTATTGTTAACAGTTTGTCAGTTGATTATTAATGAAATGATGAATAATATAACTTCATGTTAACTAAAAATTATTTTTTTCAATTAATATAAATAAATGATTAAAAATATTATAATATAAATATAGGGATTAAAACCCACAAAATTATTAAGGTAAAAAAAATAAAAATTAATTTTTATCAAGTTGCTATCCTAGTAATACAAGTTATTGTTTATTATTTCTTTGATTGGATTCAAGGAAGAGAACATTGGAAGAGTCAAAAGTTCATCGTGGAAGTTTCTGATGATTTGTTGAGTCGACGGTGGCGGTGGGTCATGCAGTCGTGGACGGCAGCAACACAATAACGTCTCTATCTCCATCGTCCACGGTTAGACCCAGACGGCTGAGAATGAAAGAGCCAGCGGTAGGCGCCGACCTTGTCTTTTTTTAACCTCTCATAATCCACGTCAGAGCACGGGCACGTGTTTCTTGTGTACTGTTGGGGAATGTGGACCACATCCACATTGCATGATGCGACACGCCAACTCGGATCCTGCTTTCCGCCTTTCCCACATAATCTCTGTTTCCTTCTAAATCTAATTCTCATTTCAATCCATCAATAATTGTATCCATTAAAATTGATCACAGATTTTATTATTTACAAAAAGGAAAAAGCACAATTCATTATTTTAATTAAAATTCTTTATTTTACTGTTTAAATTATAAAATAAAAATTATTAAATAAAAAATAATAATTTTTTAATAAATATATTAAATCAAATGGTATACTAACTAGTATCCACTTAATCATACATGAAACAAAGCCCACGCATGCAGAAAATTTGTGAGGCAACTACTATATATCATTAAGTATATGCCTGCTGCTTGAAGATATTCTGGAGAAACCAAAGCTTTTTGTCCAGTAGT